GAGCGCTTGCCTTGCATGCATGAGGCCCTGGGTTCAATTCCTCAGTACCACATAAGCAGAAAAAATAAAAAAGCTGGAAGTGGTGCTGTGGTTCAAGTGGTACAGCACTAGCCTTGAGCTGAAGAGCTGAGGGACAGCACCCAGGCCCAGAGTTCAGGCCCCATGACCAGACCCCCCCCCAAAAAAAAGATATTACTCCTTCTTCATTGTGTTTTCTTGGTGCTCATGTCAAAAGTTAGTTGGATATCTATTACTAGGTTTATATCTATATTTTTCATTCTATTCCATTAGTTTGTATGTCAGTCTTTGTGCCAGTAACACACTATTTTAATGACTATAGCTTACAAAATCAACTTACAGAAGTCAGGCTCAGTTTTTTACACCAATAATGATCTGACTGAGAAGTCAATAAAACAACCTAATTTGTGACCGCAAAAAAATAATAACATACTTGGGAATAAACTTAATCCAGGGAGCAAAAGATCTACATAGACACTGAAAATGATGATATCTTTTGTGCATTGTGATTAGTTGTCTATACTACCCAAAGGAACCACAGGCTCAGTTTAATCTCCAAAAAATGCAATGGCATTTTTTTTCATAGAAACAGAATCTAGAATCACAGAAGACCCTAAATAGCCAATGTAATCTTGAGAGAGAAAACAAACTTGAAGCCTTACATTTCCTGATTTTGAATTATACTGCAAATTTCAGTTTTTAAAAATGTTCTTGAAGAATATCAATGAGGAATTAGCAAACAAGACTCAGATGAGAGCTGAGTTGAACTCTGATCCTTAACTGCTTACAAAAAGACATAAATTATTAAAACATGGTTCTTCTTAAAAAGAAATTGTTGTCATGTTTTATGTGGGAGTGTTAAGAATTCAATTTTAGGTTCTTGGGGGAACTGTGGTCTTATATTTCTAAGTTTTTGATAGAGTTTTCACATGATGCATTTGACTTAACAAAGGACCTTTTACTGGATCTTCAATAAAGGATCCTTCGTGTAGAAACATATTCTTGTCCTACTATGGTTTGAATCAATCCTTCTAAAACTGACTCTGATCAGTTGTGGGAATCCCAGAAATTGCAAGAGTGAGGCAGAGAGGGTCAGAGACAGATGTTTCTGGAAGAGAACTTGTTTAACCTTTAGGTCATACACACAGGCATCTGTCCACTCTGTGTCCCTTCTGATTATAAGAGCCTGGAAAGCAGTTCCAGTGCTAAGGCCTAGAAAGTACCTAAATGAAACTAGTTGGCCCAACCAACTGTTGTAAAAAGCATTCCTAGTTCTTTTGGGCTTTATAGAGCTTTTAAAACATTTGTTATTGGTGATCTGAAATTTTGTGGATGTCCATCGATTACATGAACGTATCCTTGCATCTTGATGATTAAGTTTCAGGACTTTGTAAACATACATTCCATGTTGACCTAGCATGATTTCCAACTTGAAAAAAGAACCATTCCAGCAGCATGACACAAACACATCTGTTCACAGACACTGATTTCAAAACCATAGAGTGCTAACTTTGGAAAGAGGAAGACTCTTGCTTCATAGCATTTCCAGCATGGCTACTGCAGACCCCTTCTGAGACTGAGAGAATGGGATTCATGCTACAAAAGATGCTCCTTGTTCCAAGAAAAAAAGCTTCCTGCAAGGTGGCTCATAAATTCTTGTTCAGTAGTAGCATCCCTGGTCCCACCACTGGAAAGGTAGACTTAGGGGCTCTGAGAAGGGCTTCATAATTTTTATTTCTAGGCTTCATTAAATATTTCCAATTCCCAACACCAGGTGATAGTGAGATTGTGGTCTTTTAACCACCTTTATTCCCTTTATTTCTTTTTTTGTGTGTTTTAAAACTGTGGATTGAACTGAGAGTCTTGTACAGCAAGTGCTCTACCACTTGAGTCACGCTCCCAGCTCTTTTGTCTTATTTTTTGTTGTCTCTGAGATAAAGTGTCACTGACTTTGCTCTAGCTATCTGGCCTCAAACTTACAATCCTCCTGCTTCTGTCAACCCAGTAGCTGGAATTACAGGTGTGTGCTACCACAGGCAGCTTCCAAAGCTTAGAGAAGCTCTGTTTCTATGTACCTGCCAGAATACTTACTTTCTTGTAGGACTTAACACAAGGAAAAATGGAGCTGAAATCTTTTCAACTTTTACTGCCCAAACAGAGAGAACACAGGTCTTATTCTTAGACCTCAGGAAAAGAAAAAGTATATACAAATTGTGAAGGAAAAAAAAGTGTTGAAGAAAAGTAGCAATAGCTGTCAAATGTCATAAAAACACCCAAACACGCAAACAAATGTCATTATCAACCCAAACCCATCATCTTAAGCTGCTTGAAAGGCATTGTCTCCGATACCATTTTTCTAGCTTTGCCTGTCAATGCAGTTATTAAACACTCAATTTCCAACTCATTCCTGCTCTTCTGTTCAATTTGTCACCTGCCTTGAGAGCTATATGACAATCAATTTTGTCCCACTCTTTCCTGCAGCTCCTCACAGGGTAATGAAGTAATCAAAAAAATTCAGGATTTTACCTAGAAGCATATTTCATTTTATATTTTAGATGAGTTTCAGGAAACAGTCTTGTATTGCAGCATGACCTTAATAAATAATTGCTGGGTAGATGAGTGAAAAGTTGGGCTGGTTCTCATTCCTGCATATATGCAAAAGGTGTCATATAGATCAAATCCTATTTGCAGTATAGTTAGCAATGAGTGATTCTTAAAGGAAATGTATGGTGAGTGAATGCTTTTGAAAAGTGATGGGGGTTTGTTCCTGTTGCTGTTTGGTTCAGGAGAACAACTATGTCTTAATGTCTCTTCTTAAACCTTTCATTTTAAATCACAAAATAAAAGGCAAAAGTGGACCCCTTCCATTCAGGCATTAACACTTCTGAACCCATGTGAGAAGAAGTTGTAAATGGCCACTTTTCCTGTGCTGTGACAACATACCTGACACAAACAACTTAAAAAGAGGAAAGTTTTATTTTGGCTCATGGTTTTAGAGGTTTCATTCTATGGTTTCTTGGCCTATGCCTTGTATATTGGAGCTACACAGAGGACTGGCCACTCATGGAACCTGGAAGGAGAGAGACAGAGACAGAGACAGAGAGGGAGGGACAGAGAAGAAAAGAGAGAGGAAGAGAGAGGAGAGGAAGAGAGGGAGAAAAGAGAAAAAGGAGGGAGAGAAATAAGAAGAGAGAAGGAGAAAATGAGGAAGGGTTTCCTATTATCTCTTTCAAGGACACATCTCCAATGACCTAACTTCCTCCCCTGAGACCCACCTTCTAAAGGGTTACCATTCCCCAATGGTGCCAGAGGCTGGAGATGAAACTTTCCACATTTTCCAGGTCCAAACTAGACTACCCTCTTTACTCTTTTCTACTTCCCTGTACACTTGCTAAAAACAGGAAGCTCCCTGGATGACCAGAGCACAGTCGGTATGTCAAGAAAGTAACATCTATCTAACTTGGTCCTTCGGGTCTATAGGGTTTATTGAAATTGCACTGTGTGCCTGCCATTCCTGTCATTTACAGACCTATGTCCCATTCAAGATGACATGCTGCATTCCGTTGTCTTCTCCCTTAGTCTCTTTCAACCTAGAGCCATCTTCCATCGTCTGGACATTTCCCCAGAATATAGGCCAGATACTTGAGTTTCTCTCTGTTGGCGTCTGTCCGGTGTTTGCTCATGACTTCTGTATTCATGCGTTTTAAGTACTGACAAAGAACGCATGCGGGGAAAGAAACTGACTTTCAACCTCTGGAACCCCATGGACGTTCCCTTTTAAAAGGCATAGGCATTTCGGTAAACGCAAGTCTCCCTCAACCCCAATGACAGAATCGAATTCAAGAATAAATTCAGAATTTATTTATGAAAACTGCATTTTTATCATCTTTCAATAGCTGTCACAAAGCGTTTCGATCCCACAGGTCAATTTATGCTCACAATGCCTCTTGATCAGTGTCAGCCCCTCCAATACCCTCCCTCCCTCCCTCCCCACCGGTGCCGTCAAGTTACATCTTCATCAGATGGCTCTCATCTGCTTTCCAAATCCTCGAACGTCTGATGTCAAACTCCCCCACGAAAGTGGGTTCGTTCAGGTTTTGCCATTCTCTCCTCAATTTCCTTTTCATTCCCAAGGATATTTGCATGCATTTTCTCCAAAGCTCTCCCCCCACCCCACCCCACCCCATCCCCGCGCTCCCCAGTCGGGTTTTCAGATAGGAACAATCACAAAGCACTCCAAATCTCCACTGAAACACGACGAGGTTCGAACCGTACCACGGAGGATCACTGTGGTCCATTTTTAACCTAGAAGGCGCCAAGCTCACAAAACCGGCTAGGAATTCCAAAAACTGGAACGAGATCTTGGCATTTCTCAAGTTTCTGAACCGTCCCTGCTTAAAAGGGACCAGAGGAGCTTCCCCGGGCTCCAGCCAGTCTCTCGGTTTCCTCGATGGTGGCCTCTCCAAGTGCAGAGCCTTCTCCGTATTTCTCTTCCCCGGGCGAATCCCGACCCGCGCTGCAATCAGGTGAGCCGGGCGGCGGCGCCCTTGGGACGCGCACAGGTGCCTCGACCCCGCCCTGGCCGCCGGGCCCCGCCTTGCCCCGGCG